GAAAAAAAAGAAATAAAATGAAATAAAATAAAATAAAATAAAATAAAAATAAAATAAAAACAAAAAGTAGGACCATCCTGGTTTACCTGGGCGCATAGATGTTGAGGTAGAGGCAGTCCTCACTGTACGGCAGGTCAGCCTGAGGGGAACTGGTCAGTGGTCGCTGGGCGCACTGAGCACCAAACTTAAGGGCATCCCTCGTGTCCTTCCAGGGCGCAGGAAACTGGGGTCTGGCGAACCGGAGCTGACCTTAAAGTTACACAGAAAATTCCTACTAGAAAGAAGTGTATATTCATGACATATAATAATAATACAGTAATATTATAAACATAATGTACAATATTAAAATAAAAATATATAGTGGTGAAATCAGGCACTTGTCAAAATAATGAAATCAAAGTTACAGCATTTTTCTGGCCGTCGGGTAATTTCTTTCAAATTTCCTATTTTTTAGGCTCAATGCCTTGTGGTCATTTTAAACACATTTCTGGGAGCATTTTACCGAAAAACGTTGATCAAAGGCACAAAGCTTGTAAGTTTGCTGTTTTCAAGGATTCTCAAGCTTTGCAAAAATGTTCTCCTTTACCCCCTTTCCTGACTCTCTAGCAATGTTCTGTCGTCTGCTTTCGTCTCCACTTTCTGCCTCCATCCCTTCACCTCCTTTGCTCCCTTCTCAGGGCTTCTGACTTTTCCGACAGCCCTTCTACTGCTTCTCCTTGGCTACTTCTAACTGCTGTCTTTCAGCCACACCCCTGATCTTCTGGTAGGAAAGATCTACACCTAGCCTTCTCGGACAAGGGCGAAAAATCTCGGAGGACCTGTGTGCAAGTTGCGCACGTTAAAGATCCCCTGGTGGTCTCAAATCGATAAGAGTAGGCTTCGGTGGCCACCGGGGCAAAAATTCAAAGTTTCTCACCAACTGAAAATGTTCAATGTGTCCCGCGCGCTCATATGACCTTATGCAGTTGTGAGCGCCGTAAAACACTTTTTTTTGAAAAGAAAGAAAAGGTGTCCTCATAATCCGGGGGCACCCTCTTTAAAAAAGTGCGGACTTTGCAAACAGTTACCCTACCTGTGTGTAAAACAATTTTAAGCGAAACTAACAAACTGTGATATTCCTTTTCTTCTTCTGGTGAAACGAAAGACGAGAGCTTCAAAACAAAGACTGCAGCCCCATCTGAACCAATGCGCGGACTTCCGCGGACATTTTTTTGGCCGATTGAACAATCTAGTTATGAACGATCTTTGGTGCTTTCGCAAAGAGGTTATTATAGTACCAGAGGTCACAGCTGTGCCGCCAACCACGTAAACTCACTAAGGCTGTGGTGGCCCGCTGGTGCTCTCCTTATATACATGTATTATAAATAATATAGTGACCACATTTAAAAATGCAACCCTTACATCTAAATAGATGGCCGCTTTATTTTAAACGTTCACAATATTTTCTAAAATTGGCGTTGATTGGCAATTGTGTTCCGCTACACAACAACCCATCTTCTTCGAACCCCTGCTGCTGCTGCTGCTGCTGCTGCTGCTGCTGCTGCTGCTGTTTGGCATCTGTTCCGCAAATGTGAAAGGATATTATGACGGTCGTCTTAGTGGTGGGTAGTTACGCCTAGATGGCTACTTTATATTCTCTCATCTCAGCAACACCGGCAGTGGTTCCTTTCCATTCTACCAGCCTTGAAGGTGTGTTAGAGTTGCAGCTGAGGCTTCTAGCACCTTCTCAATCACATTCCTGATTCCAGAGGGCCGATACGAGCGCCTTATTGTGGTCAGCGGTGCTTTATCTGACACACTGATTGAGAGACGAACAGCAAAAGGTAGAATACATTTTATTTTTTCATTTTAAAAAGTGATCAACAAGTCCACCTTACTAATTTTTTTTCTTCAGAATTTTACTCACCCACATGGTCTCACAGTGTAAAAAAACTCTATTTGCATTATTTGGGGATTATTTGGCTCACCTAAAGGTAAACAATCACAAAAATCCCTAACAGTACATTTTAGCGATAGGCAAATCACATGAATAAGAAATCATCAACAAAAGACTTCGCAGAGTATCATTAATCCATGACTGAAAAGTGTTGCTGTGCACCGACTGGCCTTTTATTCCTCTCCGGAATGGCGGCGCGCCCCTCAAGTTTGACACCCGTGACTTCACAGCTAAGACCTCTAGTTCTATTTATAACCCCCCTGTGCTCTCGCAAACCTCTCCTCCGACCCATTCGCTCCGAAGTGAACTAGAAATACTTCACAAATGCCATGTCTTAGATATAGTTAGTATACACGTTTCTGGTGCGCATGTAGAACCATACGTACCAACAGGTGGCTTAGCGTAGGGAATTCCCAGAAAAATGTCGAGGGCTTTCCCTGGGGAGATTTGTTGACGCACACCCCTCACAGCTCCATACAGAGTGGTCACCGTCGTGTACTGAGGCTCAGTGTTCTTCTGAAAGACAGAAAAGTAAAAATATGCACTCCAATCCGTTGCAGACAAAGGGCTGGGAGGGGAAGACCGGCTATAAACAAACAAAAGTGCCAGTCTGATCGCCCCGAGGAGGCATATGCTGTAACCCAGTACTACATTGTGAAGTTTTGAAATATAGTTAGTTTTTCATTTGTTTTTGTTTTTCAGCTA